ACTACATGTTCCCTTTGCTGTAACCAAAGAGCCCATCGTATTGAGCTCTTCAACCGATGAAGAACCTACTACCCCACCAACACAACTTAACCAACCTCTTCCTTCAACACCTACATCAAACCTACCCTTAACCCCTTCACCAACATCCCGCACCACTCAACCCTTTACCCTACCCACACAATCAGAACCAATGATACTCCAACCATCATCACCCCAACAACCACAAACACCAACCGAATCCTATGCACCAGAAACCACCCAAGCCGAACCCGATGAACCTGAGCCTACATAAGAAACCATTCTCCCTACACAACCCACAACCAAAATACAACCCACTACCCAACCATCAATGGCGCATGCAGATACTCCCTCTTCATCGAGGCAACCTCCGTAGAGCTTGGTAGACGAGATCATACAAAGCATGGAGTCAATGCGGAGACGTCCTAATTTGCCACCCAGGGAACCAATTTTGCTAGAAAATATTCATCAATATCTATACCAAGACTGCGATGACAGTTTGACCACCAATCCTCCAATCTTGTCGCCTGAGTCCATGGACCTCCTACACCATAGATTCATTAGACAGACCACTCAAGCACCCCAGGCTGTCTTTTCGAATGATGGGATAAGGAGGGTCATTGATTTGAAAATAAGGACTTTTGCCAACCGAGCCATCCGATACATCGAGTTCACTGTGGAGAGAGTGTATGGGCAAGTTTACGTATTCAACGACAACGACCTCATCAACCTCAACCTATATGACCTGATTAAATTATATGCATATACGGCTCAAAGGCAAGACCACGGCCTCAGATTTGGAATGGAAAATCGAGTGGTGGCAAAGACAATGGAAACTTTGGTGAACCACATAGCCAAGAGCGATTTTGAAATAGCTCTTCGGCTAGGCATTGAAAGGCTCTCCTGCACCCCTCCAAACGAAGACTTCCAAGGCCTACAGGAGACAAGATCTGCCTCAGTTCTGACTCAACATGAGCTTGGACTTGTTTACAAAAATGAGTTCAGGGTTAAAAAGTTCTTTAAACTGACTGAGGCCTTCAAGTATTCATCGGATACACTTGAATAGTTTCAGAAACTCATTAGAGAAAGACTGGGCATAAACAATGTGCTAAGGGAAGAGGGGAGTCGGCTCATTCATGAGATATCGACAGTCATCATATATCGAAGACTGCTCCTACGCTTTAGAGAAATATAATCAGGTAGCTCGTGATGAGTTGAATTTTTGTTTTGCCTTGAATACGGATTCATCATTAAATGGATCAAGAATTTCATCATCCAATGAAAATTTGGAATTTGATGTTTTTCTATTAAAATTAGTCTCTGTTCATCACAAGTGTTATTAGATTAGTATATGTTTGTTGTTTCATTACTTAGGGGGAGATTGTTAAACCCTACAATTCATAATGTAAAAAGTAATGGAAAACAACAAGTGATGAAGAACCAGAAGACTGATGAAGACATCAAGGCAGAAACGGCTAAGTCTGGTCAACCAACACTTGGAAGATTTTCCAGCAATTCATCCAAGCATGCAATGAAGATTCAAGGATAAGGATGAATTCATCATATCATAAATAACAGCAAATCAACAGCTGGACTTCGTAGTTTATCTTAATATTAAAGCTTATCCATAGAAAAGATAAACCTTATCTGTTAATAGAAGATT